TCAGATTTTCTTTTAAAAAAAGGTGCTATCGTTGTAAATCGGAGCGTATTGATAGAAAAGTTGCGTACAGAATATTGTCAGTCAATCAGTTGTCCAAAAACTTACTTACTTTTTTATATTCTACGGTCTTAAATTGTTCACGAAAGGATGAAAAAAGCATTGTACTTTTATTGTTATATTTTGTTATTTGATAAGCTAATAATATATTTGTCGAACTCGTTATTTACGTTTCTAGTACAATAAAGGAAACGAAAATTTCATCTGCAAGCATAAAGGCAATGGGTACCAGGGGTACATGTGAAATTAGATCCATGCGTCGACCGCGAAGTTCGTTTCACGTGTTTGAAACGATGATTTGAAACGCCCTAAATATTTACCATTTTCGGGAAAATTTGATTTTAAAAAACTGATACAAAAAAAAATTAATTAAAAAAAAATACTACATTACACTTAACTTTTTTTACTGTTAAATAAAATTGTATAATGACCCGGTAAATTGTCGTGGATTAGATTTAGATTTAGATTTAGACTAAACTTCTTTTTAGTCTAATTTTCCCTACCAAATAAAAACTACAGACATAAAAATACTCACAAATATTTGTATTTGTATTACGCTTATTAAAAATATTCACAAATTGTTCTATTGAAATTTGAAATTATAAAGGACAGAATATAAGTTTTATATAAAAATTTCAAGTCTAAACAAACATTTTTAACTTCTCATAACACGGAAAATCAATAAATGACTTAAGTACTAAAAAAAATATAACAAACACTCACAATATTAAAACACTTAGAGTTTTAAAAACTCGTTTTAAACACTGACGAATTATTGTTATAAAGAAAGGAACAAAAATTGATTTTGATTTCGAGCATTAAGGTAGTATGTATCAGGAGCTTATGTGTAACGACGTTCATGTGCCTCCGTACTACGGGTACGCCTTCCGTCCGTATAAGATTGCCCATCTCGATAGCGGGGTGAGTAGCAGAGGAGAAGAGTAAAATCGATAGTTACGAAACCCACCAAATCGTATTCGTGTGTATTATTAAAGCTTTATTTCCTGCGGTATTTTCCGGTTTTTCATCAATATTTTAACTGTTATCATTATAAAAATATTTCACTCAACTGCTTTTTTTTTTTTTTATTAGTATATGTGGTACATTTTATAATGAATCTCATGTTAAATTGTTATGCATTTTTGTTTAGTCTACGTGCAAATGTTATATGTGTGGACCCGGCTTAACAATTTTATCCACAGAGTACCTACTAAAATAAATAACTTAAAAAACTCAAAAAATATTTATAAATAGTTCGACTGTTTTTAAAATTTTAACAAATTTATAAAAAGCAAATATAGATTTAAAATCAAAATCTCAAGTCTCTATGAATATTTTGAACCGAATTGCATAAAAAAAAAAAAACCAAAATTTAAAATAAAGGAACGCTAGCACCGTAAATATATCAGTTTTTTTTTTTTTGTCACATTCTGGTTTTTCTCAATTATTACAACAAAAAGTACCAAATTATCAAAAAAAACTATTTACCTAATGATGAACCAAATTAAAAATGCAATTAAAAAGGTGTCTTGTTATTTTTTTATTGGAGCAATATTTATGATAGGAAATATAAGCTGTTTACATTTTAAATAATGAAGTCGTCGTGCCATAGTTTGAAAAAAACATTGTATTTTATACAAGGTAGATACACATTTGTGTACCGTATCCTAAACCAATATTTACCTATATGTTTAAAAATAACTTTTCTCTTAATAATATACAATTGTCACGGTTTAGCAAATTACATACCAGTTATGAGTAGTTATGTGTGTAAGAGGAAAACTGAAAGTTTGCTATTTGTTCAAAGTACATATTTATTTATTTTTTTTGAATTGACTAGGTATTTAATTTTAATTTTACAACTGAAAACAAATGTTTTCACTGTATAACACTCGAGTATTATAGACAATAATTATAGACATTGAATTCGGTCTTGTAGGCATCAGTTATACCGATTAAATACAATAATAGGTATATATCAAACTTGCTTGTTAATTGGTTTAAATTTATCTTTTTTATTTAATTTTTTTTTTTCCATTAAACATACCAAACAACACTTTATTTTCACACTCTGTTCAAAGTGAGACAGATTTTTAAATATCTACTCAATAGTTTAATTACTATTGATATAAAATATAGTTCTTCAATGAATTATTAACAATCTAACCATTGTTTAATTTTATCATAATTGATCATTAATCAGTCAGGATATTTATAACAATACCTATTCGTTATGTACTCCTATGGCATCGCATACTGTCGGCGGGTCGGCAGACTGGATGTAATGTAACGGGTAGGATACTGGGAAATGTAGTAAAGCAATTAATATTTACTCGATAAGGTTGAGATCAGGTCTAGATCAGGAACAAGTCTAGTAAAATGTCTAGGTTTTTTACAGGTACGCGTAACACACTTTCCTATTGTCGATTGGCAGTGCTGTAGTAGGAGTTGTGGAGTTTAAAAACAATTCGATAATACTCGATCTCGTTTCATACATTTTTGAGCTATTCTGCTCTGTTCCTCTGCTTGGATATTGACAAGTACCTACCTACTAAAAAAATAGTGGTAATATTGTACAATTTAAAAAAACAGCTGAATTTTGTTAATTTATATAAATAATTAAGTACAAATAGTATAGGTATATATGCTCAATACTATATTATATTATTTTGCTGTCCAAATTTTTTTGGAAGCGGATACAGATCTCTGTAATACATCTATGTTTACAGTTCACATGTTCACTCGATACAATTAGGCATAGGAAGTTGTTCGCTTTTTGTGTGCGTAAGACATTCTCCGGTTTCTATATGTGGCGGGTAGTTAGTCCACCGACGGTTGATTAAATGTGGGGGTCAATTATAATTTTAACCCAAATTTAATTATGCTTTATCTTATTTGACAAATTTTCGGAACGTACATATGGACTTGTACGCTTTGCTCCTAAGTACCTACCTAAGGTACTTAAAATATACATCTAGTGATAAAGAAGTACACAGTGTCTACATGTCAGTTTATTCGTGTTTTATGCCATACACCTAACAATGATTGGTATTTTACTAGTATTAAAAATTTTGGTCAGTTAAAAAATGTTATTTTACTTAATCTACTACATAAGTACCTACTCATATATCCAATATTTTGATATTTACCTAACCTAACCAATTATATAGTAAACTATGGTCATTATATATTGTATTTTAATGTATACATTATTAACTTTCTTTTAATAAATACCTACCAATATTAATTTTTATTTATAATATTTATTACAAATAAGCGGGTACATGTCCAGACATAATTCAAGAGGGGGGGGTAATTCAAATTTTTCAATATGAAATTAAGTCTTATTTCTATATGCAGTGTCTAACAAAATGTTTGTAATCGTCGGTTTATGTATTATCAGTGATTATAATAGTTTCCCCTTAGTTTCTTTACTTATTAGTAAATGTTTTAGAGTTACGTACCTACAAACGTTTTAAGTAAGTTCCAAAGGGAAGCCGTAAAATCTCGGAATGTATTTGCTCGGATTATATAATTCCGGAACAAAAGTGTATTTTTACTGCGGAAAAAGAAAATTTGTGAACCATTACAATATACTGCGTTTTGGTTTTTGAAATGTTAATAAATGTGTATAAACTGCCATATAAACCCCAGACACCATTATCTGAAAATTGAAGTTACTGTGTTTTTACTTGGCACGGCAGAATAATAACAGCTATACGAACTCATATGATCGATTGGCTTAAACAGGCTCCTAAAAAGAAATCCCAATAATTACATACATAATTCATGTACATAATAATTCCTTTAACCAATTTCTAGTTAATATTTTTTTTTTTTTTATGAAAAGAAATATATATTATTTTAATAATAAATAATAATCTATGTATTACAAAGTTGTATTCTTATAACTTAACTACTAAAATAAACTTCAGTAAAACTACTGAGTTATTAATTATTTATGTGTTATGAATGACTAAAAATGTTTGTACATAACTTAGAATAATTTTAAGTTTCATCTCCGATGATTTAAAATAGTATTTTTCACTCAAAGCACATTTTTTAAATCGAGAAAATAAAAACCACACTTGAGAATAATCATTAAATTATGTTTGAAACACGTTACAAAACGGGAATTAATAACTCTGCAAGTGCATACCTATCAATATAAAACATAGATTAGGGCTTAAACTATACGTTAGACGGCGTAACGCAATTTTTGTAATCCGTATGCAGTGTGGAAACACTATATATCATTATTATTATTACTATTATTTTAACATAATGTTGCATATTTGCTACATTTATATAATATGCATATAATGTTCTACACTCTGGGCCACGGCCCGTTTTGTTGTAAAAAATAATATATGAAAGTATCTACACCAAATGCATACTGAATATACACTAAATATACAATTGATTTTTATATGTTAATCTACGAAATTTTCACTAATAATTCGCGTATATGTTATACGATTATATCCCGTATTTATACCACTAATACATGCGTATTTTAAACGACGAATAATCATTGCAATTTACGTGTATTACACATATAATATACGTTGAATATTGCACTTTTGACCATCCATGGTTTATACTTATCATCAATTCATGTACACGTATATTATACGTAATTACTAATTACGTTGATTTATATCCGTATATTATACGTTTAATATACGTATATTTATTTACTGGGTATATGGCTAATTCTGACAAAAATAATTGGAACTAAAAAATCAAACTATTTCGATATTTATTCGGTTCGTTCTTGGGTTTTATCCGAACAACTTATAACAAAACTGTGGCCTGTCGGTACCAATCACAATAAAGTGTGGAAATTTTGTCCTGTGCGGTTAAAATTATACCGTCAAACAAACACGGTTAAAATTGATATTAAAACTTAAAATGCATGGCACGCTGAATATTTTATTTTTTCAAAGTCGCCCACAGTTGACGAGCTTTTCGTAAAGTTTAGTCCACTTGTAATGTTCATCCGAAGAACATTGGCATTTAGGTGTTTCGTCCGTAGTCTTATTGCAGTGTTTCATCAATGTATCACAAAATTTACTTGCGACTGCATACGTGATGCTGTCGTCTGTTTCACTGGTGCAATCATTGTGGATGGAATCGGCTTCTAAAATCTCTATCCCAGAAACGCCCTTATCATCGTGTTCTAATATCTCTTGTCTTTGCGCTCCGAAGAGTTCGGGTTTATTGACGTGGTTGAGAATTTCTCTCGACATATCTTCGACCCACGGAGAACGATATTCAATATTTTTCGACCAATGGAATCGATGTTCGAACGTGAGGTTCGTCTCAATGAGTTCGTCCAATCCACCGGATTTTTTTGCATTCGTCCTGTAAAAATCAATATACGTATTTAATTGTTTACACTGTATTATCGTTACGATGAAACGGCGAAAGCCACTGTAACCAAGAAATTATTAATCGGATATGAATATAAGTGGGTGGAGAAATAATATTCTTCTTAAGATTCGCCGACGATATTGCACTTCTAGCTAACAATGAGCATGATTTGGAAAGAGCACTGGAAGAAATGGCGAGGTGCTTCCAAAAATATCAGCTGATTATCAACTGGCAAAAAACTAAAGTAATGATGTGCCAAAAATCAGACAGAATCCGGAGAATTAATATCCAAACAGGGAATCAGCTGCTCGAACAAGTGGACCATTTTAGATACCTAGGCAGTCTAATCAACCAAGATGGAAGATGTTTCATGGAAATAAGATCCAGANAGTGAGAAAACGCTTGATTAAAGTGTATGTATGGAGTGTGGGACTATATGGCTGCGAAACATGGATTCTGAATAAGGCAGAACAACGAACACTCGAAAGCTTTGAAATGTGGTGTTGGAGAAGGATGCTGAGAGTGAGTTGGATAGAACACCGTACCAACGAAAGAATACTCAGTGAAATAGATGAAAGCAGAGAGATTCTCAAAACCATCAGAGCAAGACGATGGAACATGATTGTAAAATAAAAAGTCATTTTTTTGAAGGGCATTCTGTATAACTCATTTAACTCGTTTCTATATCTTTATTTGAATTATTAAAATCACCACGAACAGGGTTGTGCAGTATGAGTGCCGGCCCTAGGGGTAAGGGGGCAAGCGGTGCGGCTACACCGGGCCCCGCAAATTATGTATTCTGAATATAACTTTATCTATAAATAATCATAATAATATTGTCCCAATATAGTAGGTACGCAAATTGCGATTCGTGTGATCGTGTGGTTTTCTTAGGACACGGGTTGTTATAGATGAAAATCAAGATGGTACCAATTATAAAAAGCTAAACACATTGTTATTGGCTTAAAAACACTCAAACATATGTTATCAATATCGAACATATTCTCTGAGCTACAATAAGACAATTGTTTACATAAAAAAAAAATTTTTTAAGTAGGCGATATCATATATTATCAGTTGTATTACAATAATCTATGTTAATTTTTTTATTACAAATAATAGTTTACTTATTATGTCATATTTATGTCATAGTGTTCAATAAAATATTAATATTAATTGATAAAATATTGTTTGTACCTAAGTAGGTACCTACTTATTTTGTGTATAATATAAAAATACAAATTTGATTTTATTAGCTTATACATAAGTACAAATTAAGATTTCTAACAAAACCATCAAGTTTACGAAATTATATGAAAACATAGTAAATTCGTTAGAAAATAAAATAAATAAATATGTATTTTTATAAATATATATGAGGCCCCGCAAAAATGAAAATTATTTATCTTGCTCGCCTTTGAATATTTTTAGGTCAACCAGTAATAACCTTACCAATGAAATTCTATTTGTTTAATATTTTTTCTACTAGTATATTTTTAATTTTGTTTTTTTTTTTTATGTTTTAAAATGTATGAAATATAAAAAATGTTATGTATCGCAATTGTAAGTTTATGTACCCACTAGTCATATCACTATTGTAATTTTATTGTAATTGGACATTTGTCCGTAATATTGAATAAATAAATAAATAATAAAATCACAGTATATTGGTTACTAAAGATTTATAATTCCGTTTTTTTTTTTGTGCTAGTTTTAAATTTAAATATTTTATCATTCAGTATTTAATAGTAGTAAAATAATTGTATATTTAGAAAAATATATTGAACGTGAGCATTTAAAAAGTATTTCGTGAAAACACATGAGCTCTGAGACCGACCCCCTTAATCCGACTTAGGCGGGTGGATAGGTGTTATCCTCAAACAGGGTTTACCCCGGTGGTTTAAAAAATGTTCGGTGCCGCTGTTTACAATCTTGCTTTCCTCTATTCAATAAACATCTAATTTTTTTTAATTTAGATACTTCTAAAATATATATAAAACAAATATTGGTGCTATTTGTTTTAACGCACAGGCCATACAATTTCTTCTACCGCAATATTGCATCTGCTCGACTACATCCAATATTCGCGTATTACAGCTATTAACGGTGTACTTAGGTTTTTTAATTTTACAGTTTTACGTATCATTCTTATATTATACAATTACGTTTCGATATTTAACCAAGAGTTCAGTAAGTAATTTGTTTCATTTCGTCACTATTTTTGCAGGCTACCAAGGCTTACGGTATACACGACAGAACACGGTACACATGTGGCTATATACAGGTTTTGGCGTTTACCGACAAGAGTAGGTAGGTAAGTTTATTTATCTGGTATTTAAACCTGTATTTAATTTTTTCATTCTCTACCATTTTAGTTCTAAATAATGTTCTACATTAAATGTCAGTGTAAAATTCAGAAAATCGTATTATTTTTGAAAAGTAAGCACATAATATGTACTTAAAAAAATATATATATATAACTATTGTATACTTTTTTCTTTTCTTTTTTGATTCCGCCGAACCGAGAGGGGACCACGTTAGCACTGTTTTCCCCGGCTCGGCCTGCCTTCTTTGATGGAACCTCCTGTCAGAGGGCGAAGCAAAACCCATCAGACAGGTAGGTGGAGTCATCGACGATGCATAGCCACCCGTTCTGCGACTTGTTTCGCCCTCTCGTTATCTCCCTTCCTCGTCATTATTGACTCGATCATGGCGAGGAAAGCCACCATACCGTGGCTCGCCGCTGCCAACAATCAGTCGGCGTCGAGCGAAAGGGGGTCATTGTGCAGCCCTTCGGGGCCGCACAACAGATCCAAGGTATCCTTTGGCCAAGAATCTCGATCACCAAGGAGTACCCGGACTCCGGCTCCTTACCACCGCCCACTCCGAATTATTGCATAATATTAACTATACCATAAATACGGTCAAGATCAAGTAATACCCTAATGTAAACAAAAAATAATAAATAACAGCTAATAATATTAATACATGCAAATTGAGTTACAGTTTGTGAACACTACAAACTTCAAAATAAGTCCCTAAAATAATAATTACATATAGTTTTTACCGATCGTTATTATTTTACATCATTAACAAAGTTTGAATTTGTATGGATATTAATATACATTCAATATTCAAACTTGTCTTATTTAACCCGTGATAAGATTTTCTTGCGAAAAATCGTTTTTTAAATTGTTCATGTGAAAACGGGACTATAAAACAAGATCGATTGGAATCATTCATTTTACTATAATGTTAAACAGGTATTAACGTCAATGGTAAAGTTTCTAAGGTAGTGCAATCATTTTAAAATATTGTATTATTCCACAAACGTTTGTTATTATACATGAATAATTATGACAAATAAATTATAAACAAAGTTACGTTCAAGCAATATTTCTGATGGAAAACATAAACCATGTGTAAACCAAATGAAAAATAAAGGAATCGGTATAACGACGAAGTGCGCCGTAAATATTTGATGTTTTTTTTATTTCCGATTTTTTCAAATTATTTTTAAAACCCCTTTAGAAATTAAAAATGTATCTCTTTAAAGCACCAACTAGACACGAAACTCAATGATAAAGTTTCTTGCCATTTTTCGATTCATACAATTTTTTTATTTGAAAATTCATTTTCCGAAAAACAGCCTATTTTCTGTTCCGAGTTTAAAAGGAGTTATTTTATATTAAGTAATGGGTATATTTATTTATTTTTGATTAGCGAATACTGTAATATAGTACATACACAATTTACAATGGGTCTACAAAAAGGAGAGCCTACGTGGATTAATGACCTCTAATTGTAAATGAAATTGACGTTTACCGCATTCACAATACATTTCTTTTGTAGAGTTAAATTATTCTCATTTTGAAACATTAACTTTTTCTGAAAAATGAGCATTCATGGCTTTCAATAAACTAGTTCTACTTTTTCTGTGGTCATACCCGCCCATCTTCAACATTGCGACATTTCGCCGAAGCACCAGCCTTTTCATTTCACACTCGCATCGCCGCCGTCATTGGACACAGTTCGTTGACCCATCGCCTCCGATGCTCACCTCAGTACATTTACAACTTTGACAAAGGATCAGTCGGAGGACCCGGCTTCAGCGCATCGTTAACGGTTCCTTGAATTGCGCGTTACGTTTAGAAGTGCGCGATATGCGCTCGGGAACTGTGTATTTCGACACATCGGCGTCCGTAAGGTCACGCACGTACATTCCAGTGACGCTTCGCCGACGCTTTTTCGATATCCTGCACAATCAGGCGCACCCGAGGATTAAAACCGCTCTTGCGCTGATAAAGGAACGGCACTGTTGGCCTGACATGGATCGCCAAATCCGAAAGTTGGTCAGACACCGCGTGGATTATCAACGCGCCAAGGTCCATCGACACTTCATCTCCCCAGTAATGCCTTTCGTTGTTCCCGACCGCCGTTTCGGTCATACGTATGTATTCACATCGACCTGGTCGGGCCAGGTTACCTTCTTCCGACGTTTGCGAATATCTGCTTGCAGTCATTGACAGATTCACTCGTTTGCCGGAGGCCTACCCTCCTGGAAGACAATTCAAATCGGAATTTTTCCAGACCCTCAGTCGCATCCATGGTTTTCAGCACATCAGACCATCTCCGTTACATCCACAAACGAACAGTCTCGTCAAGCGTCTCCACCGCCCGTAAAATCAGTGCTGACCGCGCGCGTTAACGTCCAGTGGACCAGGTCTTTAACTACTATTCTATTAGCATTTCGTAGCAGACTGGACCTTGACGGTTCGCCGGCCGAGTTAGTCTACGGTACGACTTTGCGATTTCCAAACGAATTTTTTCACTCCGTTCAGCCGGAAGTGCGAGCTCCAGAACTGGTTAGCACTCTCTGAGATTTCATGCTACTAATCCAACGAACTCCGGATACAGATCATTCAAAACGGACTGTTTTCGTCCCCAAAAGTCTACAGACCGCTTCACACGTTTTTCTCCACGTGGGCTCCTCCAAAAAGTCACTCCAGCTACGCTATGACGGACTTTTTTCCGTCCTGGACCGAAATTCAAAAGTTTTCAAGCTTCAACGCCACTATTGAACGAGTTGGATTCCAGTGGACCGCTTTGAACCCGCTTTTCTGTTCGAGGAAAACCCGATCGCCGACCATTCGTGCGCTGCTCATTCGGAAATACAGTTCTGCCGACGACAGAAACAAGTGAGTTTTTTTTTTCCCCCAGGGAGAGGTAATGTGGTGATTTCCACACACACGCTCCCATGTTCTACCTTTTCTATGACCATACCCAACTTCAACACTGCGACCTTTCGCCGTCATCGGACGCGACCGAAGCACCTGCCTTTTCATTTCTCACTCGCATCGCCGCCGTCATCCGACACAATTCGTTGACCCATCGCCTCCGATGTTTACTATTTATTTTTATTATTTTCATTTTTATTTTTTCTTATTGTAACTCGTAAATCATAGAACAATAAATAATTTTAAAAAAAAAATCGTTTCTCTTTGTGTGATATATTTGTCGAAAACAAACCACTTTATTATCAAATAATGTAGCCATGAGCAAATTCACGAGCGTCAAACATTTAAACTGTTTGATAGTAAACGTTTGAAAAGTTGGTATGGCTGAAACACGCTATTTTGCTAAACGGGCACACAGAATTTCTCCGTTATGAAACGTTAGCTGTCGCGAATTTGCTCCATGACCACGGTTATAGGTAGAATGGTGAATGGTTTCACTACTGTGTTACCGTTTAATACCTATGAGGCTATAACCGTTTCTCTAATAGCTACTGTAATATTATTTTTCTACTAGTCAATTGAAAACAGTTATGTTGGTTTCGTTATTCAAACGCTTCGTCATTGGCTCGTTGATAATTGCTTTTAAAAATGTAAAGTATTTAAAAGTTAAAAGTTAAGACGCTAAATTTTCTTTTCGTGAGCTTGAATTTATCATTTCTTTCAATTTCAAAAAAAAGAATAATAATAATAATAATACAATATCGACTTCTCGGTTTTTGACGACTAAACGTATTAAACTGCGTTTGTACATAATCACAATGCGAGCACCTAAGAATAACTAATTTTATATCACGATGTTTGTGTCTCGGTAACCAGTTTCGGTCTAGGTACGGTTGCAAATTACAATATTACATTGTGTTTAACATGCAAGCGCACGTCCGATAATTCGAATCGTGATAACAATACTTAATAATAATATCGCATGCATATTTTTATAGTTCGAATTACGGTACATGGCGCGGCGGTGAAGTGTTTTTTTTTTTTCAATCAATAATAAAAAGAAAGTAATTGAAATTTCGATATAGGTTCGGCATACGGATATACAATTACGATAACAGCTTATTTAATGAGTTATTGTTATGTAAAATCATAATCAATGGATACAACCTATATGTAATATTAAAATTCCATTTATTGAACAATAATACAAATCGTTACGTCTGACATGGGTGCATACCAAAATAACAATTGTTTTAGATCGGAATTTTGCGTTTTAAATCGAGTGACGGGTGGGGGGGGGACGTGCTTTGAAATCGATACCATTTATTACCTTTATGCGTTCATTAAAATATACAATGTGTATAAACTAGTGATGTGATATAAATCCGGATTTCGGATTTTAAAATTCAAGTATCCGAATTTCGGATTACAAAACCGAAGATACGAATTTCAGATTTCAAAATCCAAAATTATGGATATTGGACCTAAAATTCCGAAAATTCTAATTTTAGAATTTAAATTATGATTTTTTTTTTTTTAAATCCATTCTACATATTTTTGTATAAATCCCTCACTACAATTTTAATCTAATTTGTGTATTAAATTATTCTATAAAAGGTGACAAATATGGCCAGTTTACTTAGTGTGATTATAATAAATTAATATCAATTAATTCATATCATAAACAAATGTATAGGTATGATAAGTTTTTAATTAAATAAAAAATGTCTAAAAAAAATGCAAAATCAAAGTTTCAAAATCTAAAATTCAGATTCAGAATTAAAATTCAGGGTTACTAAGCCCAATTTTACTATGCTCAGTTGTATTAAGTCGCAACAATGGCACCGAACTAGGGAGACAGGTCGGACGACCGTCCGATTAAATTTGTTCGTTGTGGGTGAGTGTGTGGTGCTAGTGATGAGAAATATACATAGTATGAGTAGTATTTGTAAAAACAATAACTTTAAAATGTACTATGAGTTTGTAATATAAGACATATAAGACACTTAAAAAAGAGCAGTTTAATGTAGTATTGTCTTGTTTGCCCGAGTATTTTTAAATTACTATTCTATGTAGGTGCATATCATAAGAATCCATTGTGTTTTTTTCTATGTATAGTTTTGCTCATTTTTTCTTAAGCTAGCAGAACATGTGATTTTTTTTGAAGGGAAAAACAATTAGATCCATTTGTATCTACTATAGAAGGCACATTTTATTCGCGTTTGAACGCTTAATTATTATACAATATTTCGCTATAACTTTTTACAAAACATGTGTTTTGCAAAAAAAAAAACCAAAAAAATAAAAGGTTGAAGACCAAAAATGGTGAGCTGAAATATTATTATTATTTTTATTGATTATGTGGTATCTATGGTCTAAGCATATCTACTAAAC